AACTGAAATCTAATGTTGGAGGGAGGTGAGATACAATAATGTCCTTTATCAGCGTCTCAAAACATTTCATACTGATGGATGTAAGTGCAATTGGATGGTAATCATTAAGACCCGTAATCATATGGAGATTCTCAGTCATCCATCCCAAAGGTGCTTTTTCAATAGGCAACTTTTTTATTTCCAATCTTTGCTGGTAGGCAGGTCTTCAGCTCGGTAGTGTAGGGTTCTGATGGCTCCTATATTGTGCTCCAGTGGGTGGTGGGAATCAAAATGCAAATATTGATCTGTGTGTGGGGGGGTTTCGTAAACTTCAATGTTAAGGTTTCTTTCTTCCTTAATGTGTACTGTATAGTCCAGGAATGCTAGATTATTTTCCTTAACGTCTTCCTGTATGAATTTGATGTATTTATCCACAGCATTGATATGATTGGTGAACACTTCCAATTCCTGTGTTTTGATCTTGGCTCAAGTATTATCCACATACCTATACCAGTGAGAGGGTGGAAATCCTGTGAAGGAGTCTAGGGCTTTGGTTTCTACCTCTTCCATGTACATAGAGGTTGGCCACAATGGGGGACACAGGTGAACCCACGGTACAGCCATACTTCTCTATAGAAACCTTCATTGTATTTAAAATAGGTAGTGGTCAGGCATGGCACATATGTAATTTGGGCCGAGATTGGTTCTGTCACCTAAAGTGCTGTCTTGTAGCAGTTGTTTCTTCACTACCATAACAGCTTCAGTTATTGGAATGCAGGTGAAGAAGGAAGTCAAATCATAGGAAACCGTAGTCTGAGTGAGTATACATTTTTCTTAAAATTTTGTGCATTAATTTATTCTTATTATCTATACAGCCTTTTCCAGAATATTTAAAGAAAATAGAAGATGAAAGCCTCCTGGAGCCTGACAGCTAATCTGAAAATTATGAGATAAAAAACATAACATAGGTAAATAACCCACTATCAGGGATTCTTTGTGAGCAGGGGGTGAGGACTTGCTCCAGCCGTGGCTGCCCCAGTGTCAATCTTGGCCAGGTCTATTCCACCTCATCTGCCAGCACATACCAGCATTGGAGATCTCAAGCCCCCCACCCCCACCCCAAGATGCAGGTGTGATAGACTTCATTGTTAAGCCCATCTATGGAACATTCAACCAGGATCTCCTCAGGCCATGTGGCCAGTCAACATGCTAGCTCACAGATGTCCTCGGTATATTCTGCCACCAACCGCCGCCCCTGGGTGATGGTCTTCATCCGGGCTGGGGCTTTGTGCTCTGCTAGAGAGTCCTCAAACTGCCAGAGGAGGGCTGCCAGAGGAGGGTAGCAGTTTCACAGTTGAGTATTGTCATTGTGAAAAGAAACCATCCGCTCCATTGCAGCCCATTCCAGGGCCATGGTGACACATCTCACTTTGGCTGTTTCTGATCCCAATTCACCCCCATACTCCTGCATATAATTCCAAACTTGAGCTAGGAAGAATCCCAGTGGTTTGTGATCTCCTTCAAACTGCACTCCTAGAGGCAGAACTATGGGGAATAGCTCCCCCAGTCAGAAGAGCTAGAGCCACTGCAGCTGCTGGTGGCTGTGTGATTGCCGCTGCAAAGGTGCCCACTTCCACCCACTGTCTGGATGGTCTCTCTGCTGGGATGCTGCATGGGCAACACTGGGCAAGTGTTTCTCTGGCTCTCCAATTTTCAATTGCTTCTTGCAGCAGATACAATGCATGGCTCAGCATGAGGTCCTTGTTGTCAGAGTTGGGCGGAGTATCTCACCACAATCTCTTTCGCACTCCACTCTACAGGATCCTTGATGGCCCCTGGTAAAAGTCACCCCCGGCAGTTACTCCTCATGGTCCTCCTGTCATCCTATGCTCAGAGACTATCTGGCTCAGACCAGCTCCTCATCAAGCTCCAGCTCTTCCAGCCATTCAGCCTCATCTCTAGTGCGCATGGTTGTGGGGGGGGGGGTTGCTCTGGACCTTTCTTGGTTGCTCCCGTGGGTTGATATCGAGTGCTCGGCCCCTACAGTAGATTACAGTCTCCAGCCAGGTTGGCTGATAAAGCAGTTCTTGCCTAATGTCCATTCAAATCCTAAGAAAAAAAAAACCCTGACTCCATTGATTTAGAGAAGAGGAATAACTAAGAATAAACTGATAGAAGCAAAAGCAAAGCAAGATCTGAGAAAAATCAGTATAAAAGTTTTACATTGAAAGTCACCCCTTTCCCCAGGGTCCACCACAGAAAGACCAATCAGCATCCAATATGATGTTATGGGAAAGCTCTTCAGCAGATATTGTATGCTTCCGTAGTCCTAGGACTCAGTTTATGGGTGCAAACCTCCCTTCCAATTCTCATGGGAACGCGCCACACCAGCTCTCTTTCCCATCCCATCCCAAATATCAAAAAACCTTCCCATTTCCATGGCAGCCTAGAGCAAGCAAGCTGTAAACAGTATCCTGAAGATCTGGCTGACAAAATCAGTTCTTCCACTTAATAGTGTGATCGTTTTGTAACCAAGCAATTCCCATCACCAGTGGAAGATCAATAAGGTCAGCTGTAAAATGAGTTAATGTTTCAGATGCTAATTTATTGTCAATTGCAAAGAAACTGTGGTGTGAGTGATGGGACCTGCTTTTAAAATTCAGGCAACAATAGTTATCCCTGGCAATGAAGACTTCAGAGGAACCTTGAGGATCTTAAATTTCTGGACTGTGTCTAGGTTTATGGAGTCAGCAGTTGCCATAGAATCTATCAAAACAAGGTAGGCCGCTTCCTGACCACTGGGAAGTGTCAGTATAGCATCAAATTTTATTAATATACCTGAGCGTGGAAGTAATTTGAGCCTTGTTCAGTGCTTGGTTGATACATGAGCTGGGGGGAGGGGCGTTTCTTATTTCCTTAGCCTTCGGGCTTGTCATCCAGGTGGTTAGTGGAGACATTGCTGTCTGTTGCTTCTTCTGGGAGGTCCCCCCAATCCTTCTTTTTGATAAGCTAGGCATATCTAGCTCCCTCACCCATTCATCATATGATATAGTCTCCGGACCCTTTATCCCAGGGTTAAACTCACATCGTCACGGTGGCACGCCTGAGGTATCGGGACTTTTCCCCCCTTCACTAAACCAGGCATGGGCGTAGCCAGTGCGTGACGCATCCGGCCTGCAGGATCGGAGTCTGACAGCCCTGCTTTATCCTCTTTGTTGTCAAGAGCTAGATTGTCACCAATTTAATAAACCTACCCAAAGTATGATATGAAAAAACCTGAAGCTTCAAGAGAACAATCCTCTCATGTAAATATAATTTGTGAACCCATTTGTCAAGGCATACTGAAATTTAGAATCATCATCAGAATTCAGGAGCAACAAAATTTAACCAAAGGCAGGATTATCATTCTATTACAACTCTTTGGGGCATCTTAAAATATTAAACTGAGAACTGCCAATGAAAGACTGTGAAAACTTGTATGTGGAGTGAGCTTTTACATCATTTAACTGAAGACTTGTTTGTATATAATTCTTGTATTTTAAAATGTTATCCAGATGTAATAATTGTCATTAAAAGAAGAAATTGGGACAATTATGAGAGATCTTGCGATTTCTGATCATACAATAAAAGATCCTAAAAATTATGACTTTTGGCATGAAAAGAAAATATCAGACAAGTTATAATTTAATTTGTTTGTTGTAAAGTGAAACAACCACTCTTATTTGTAAAGCATTTTGCATTGCTCTACCTACAACTGTGGTTTACTTAGTAAAACATGTTTAAGGAAATCATGATTTAAGACAATAAATGCACTTATAATAAACCATGAACCATGATTCTCAAATCTTAATCCACAGAATTTGTTCAACCAAAATTAGACATACTCCAATATGACTTTAGGGATGTGGTGGCTCAGTGGCTAAGATGCTGAGTTTGTTGATTGAAAGGTCAGCAGTTCAGCGGTTCAAATCCCTAGTGCCACATAACAGGGTGAGCTCCTATTACTTGTCCCAGCTTCTGCCAACCTAGCAGTTTGAAAGCACGTACAAAATGCAAGTAGAAAAATAGGGGCCACCTTTGGTGGGAAGATAACAATGTTCCATGCGCCTTTGGCATTTAGCCATGCCGGCCACATGACCATGGAGACGTCTTTGGTTTCTAATATAGCATTACAGCTCTTGGGCGCCCAGAATGTGGCACTGGGTGTGAAAGCTCACTAAGTTATATAATTTTCGGGAGCCTGGAAATCATTAACACCAGAATACTGTATTATAATCCAATGAGGTACTAAGTGCATTTTCTGAAACTGAAACGTGTGAGTGTATTTGTGTGTTTCTATATGAAAATTGTCTAGATTCACTTTAAGAGTCAAATTTTAATTTGACTCTTAAATATCTGGTACACTGGTCTTCTATATCTGGTACACTGGCATAGATGACTAATAAATTTTAAAAATAAATATATTTTACAAATAAATACTCCAACTATGTTGAACAACACTCATTATTTATACATAGAGAGAGACTAGAAATATAATTCTGCCCAAGATAAATATTTTTACTCTTAAATAATTCAAAAGGGAACACGTAACCTACTGAAATGCCTGCTGTTAAAATGGGTGGCACTTAAGTGTATTTAATTCCACCTGGATTGTGTCAAAGGATTTTATACATCTTGTATGTGCAACACAACTTCTCAATCAATTTATTTGATGACGAATTCAGGAACGACAAAGTGAACAGCACAAGAACATAGATGGAATAATAACTTTCTTACAAAGGAAAGAAGTTATTTGTAGAAACAAATTAACTAAGAAAAATTCTTTTCTTATAGCTACTGCTATCAGCAGCAGCAACGACAAAAATTACAAAAGATTAAACCGAACACTAACTTCGCTAACAAAAGCAGGATTGCGAATCAGCCGCGCGCAGAAGCTCATCTATCCTACTACTAACTTCTCGCGTACTGCTTGTGCAAAATGAAATATGCGGGCGAGAGCAAAATCACTACAGAGATTTTACCTTTCAGCCTCAGCTCCCCACTGGAGCGCGCTCGTTCGCTGACTCGCCGGACCGTCCAGCAAAGCAAAAGGCGCCCCATGCGAAAGTGGCTGAAAAAGCTTCAGAAACAAAGCCCACGCAAGAAAGGAAGCCTTCTTGGGCCTTCGCTGTCTTCAAGATGCTCCAATATAAGAAGCTGGCTCGACAATGGAGTGAAAAACAGAAGTTCTACGAAAGCGCTCTCTCTTATCTCTCATTCTCTCGCCCTCCCCCCATCCCTTCTCGGTCAAAGAACAAATTCCTTCGATGCCTAGAAATCCAGCAAGCAGGTGGCTCCCTCTGGCTTTCCTCGGCACTCATCTCCCCGTTGCCGTTCAAAGAAGCGAGGCAGCAGCTGGCTTCCGCGTTCCACCCCCTGGCTTCCTGCCTGCTGGTACGCTTTTTTCTTCTGAGCTCTCAGAGACGACGGACAAAGCCATGCTGCTCCTCCTGTACCTTGGAATGCCTGGTGGATCTCGTTTCTGCAAAGAAAGGCCGAGGAAAAGGGTACTGTTTACTTTCCAGCACCTCAAGGACAGCTGAACTCCTTGGACGGTGATTCATAGGATATACCAATAGAGATAAGGAGACCCCAGCCAAAAACTCTCCCAATTCTTCCTCTTCCGATTCTGTGAACACCTGAAAAGAAGGGAGGAATTGAGACCAGAGGCTACTCTGCTGCTCCTGTCCAGGAACATAGCAACAGGCAAGAGGAATGAACTTGCAGAGAACAATTGTTCCCTGAAAAATGTGCAAGGAGGATTTTATTTTGGCCATGCATTGTAGCTCTATGTTGCCATCAATTCTTGTTGTAGAAATGCTTTTCCATTCCTCAACCTATGGAATTCTACAGAGCCCACCCATCCGGCCACCACCTAGTCATCTGAACCTGCCAGGGAAGATAAAGCATTTCTACTATGGACCATGACGAAGGGGAAGAGGAATATAAAACTTATTCTGATATTAATTTGGTGATATTATTCACAAATGAACAGCTAGCAAAATAAAGTCAAGATACCTTCAAATTGAGTTAAATTCCTAGAAATCTCATACCATTTTGATTAATTATGTGCTCTCAAGTCATTTTCTACTCCTAGTGATTACATCCATATAATTCGCCTGGCAAAGGAGATACGGTAGTGAGTTGCTAATGCTTTCTTGTTTAATTTTGTTATGAATATTTCCTTATCTAGTCTCCACCTCTGGGATTCTTTTCAAGTAGTTTCTACAGTCAACACTGCATAACTTTCTAAAATTGGTGACAGTTGGTTGGGCAAAGTGAGTATGTGAGTATCACACATTCTCAATTGACCAGACAACCCCTTGTTCATATTGAGGATGTGTGTGCATTGCAAATTAAAATGTGGTTGCCTGATTTATGACTCAGTGGCAGTATCCCCACAACACATTAAACTCAATAGATATTATTTCTAAATAAATTTCATATGCTCTGGCAAAAGACATTAGAAAAATGCTAAAATATCCAAGATACCAATGCTTGAGCCCTTTCAGGCATCAGTTTTGATTTGTTATCAAAAGGCTTTTTGATGAGTTCCATGTTATTCATTTCCAACAGAATGGTTCTTCAGCCTCTATTCTTTATAAAAGGGAAAAACATTTTCCTTTGAAATGCAAAATATTTACTAGCATTCTTTCACCATCTCATACTATATACTGAGATGGGTTGATATTTATAGGAGAGATTCCTCAATTGTATATTTCATTTCCATCTGTAATCAGAACAAATATAACATCTAAGCGTGTCTTTCCAAAGCACCTGAAGGCCAGACAAGGAATAATAGATGGAAACTGACCAAAGAGAGATTCAACCTAGAAATGAGGAGGAACTTTCTGATAGTGAGAACAATCAACCAATGGAACAGCTTGCCTTCGGAAGTTGTGGGAGCTTCATCACGTTAGACTTTCAAGAAAAGATTGGACTGCCATTTGTCAGAAATGGTGTAGGGTCTCCTGCTTGAGCAGGGGGGTTGGACTAGATGACCTATAAGGTCATTTAGTATAAGGTCATTTAGTATAAGGTACCTTCCATCTCTGTTAATCTGTTAATGTCTTCTTTCCCCCACATTTCTTGTCCCTATAAAGTTACAGTAGTTTATTATTCAGCAAGCTTCTGGTATCCTTGTGTATATATTTCTAAGGTTGATCTTTCAATAGTGTCTCTCCATGTGTTCTCTTTTTCTCTTTCTCTCTCACTCACACACAGGGGGAGGGAGAGAAAGAGAGAGAGATCTGAATGCAAGCATATCATTTGGCCATCATATTCACCATCACTTGGAAAGACTTGAATAGACATTTACTGCTCTCTTCTATGTTACCAAAACACTTACAGGGATGGGGTGGGAGAAGGCAGAAGGAGATCAGACAAGTTAAAACTATTTGTCTGACATTCTTTGCAGACTCTTGACCAGTGGTGGCGAACCTATGGCACTTGTGCCAGAGGTGGCATGCAGAGCCCTCTCTGTGGGCACACATGCCTTTGCTCCAGCTCTGTTTTGGGTCTTTACCGTGCATGCGCACATGCCTCCTGCTGGCCAGTTGGTCTTCAGGTCTCTGCTGCGCATGTGTGGACTGTGGGTGCGCATGCGCCCATGCCTTGCAGTTTGAGCAGGGCATGGGCGCATGTGTGGGGGCATGGGCAGGGTGCAGGAGCATGTGTGGGGCATACGCATGTACATGCCCATGCCTTACAGATTGGGTGCATGTGCGCCCTTTGGACACTCAGTGCCTAAAAGGTTCACCATCACTGCTCTAGACTAAAAGAGCTATAGCCATTTACAATTGTAGTACAATGATTACAATGTAGATACGAAGAAGAACAACAACTCAGATGTATTCCAAATGTGGTGTAAATGCTGGTACCCCAGAAGGTTCCCCTCACCCTTTTAAGATAAGTACTGTCATCACCAGGCCAATTGGGGTATATCAATGTGTCTTATTGTTAAAGACACATTGTTAGGGTTCATTCAACCTATTTGAACAATAAACTAATCATACTGGGTAAGTTCTCAACAAATCGCTGGGCCATAAACCCGCCACACACATCTTAGCTTCACTTTCTCTCTTTGTTGCAGAATAGCAGGACAAAGTTCCAAATGGAAATCATACCATGCTCTGTTTCCTAAGCGTCCAGTTCAAGTACCGTGTTTCCCCCAAAATAAGATCCTGTCTTATATTTTTTTGAACCCTGAAATAAGCTCTTGGCCTTATTGCCATGTGCTCAAAAGCCTGATTGCGCTTATTATCAGGGGATGTCTTATTTTGGGGAAAACTGTAGAATAGCTGGTTTCTTCCACTCAGTCAATCATGTTTTTACCCAGTGCTTCTTGAGAAGAGCAGTTACCAAGAGTTTTGCACTAAATCCTCAAGTAAGTTTTGTTCACCACAAAGCTGTTTCACCAGCTGTTGCCTCCCAACAGCACGTTTCCCTCTTGTAATGATAATTTTGCCAACAAACAAACAAACAAAACAAAGGAACAGAGGAAATGAACTGATGTAATTTTCAATTAATAACTTCTGCTTTTCATTTACAGTTTGTTCGCTTTACTCCAGACAGTTTGCTGAAATTGATTAGGAACTAGTTTGGAAGAATTTAAATAAGGTTAGGCATGAAGACAAAATTATGAGATTAAAATCAACAACACATGTTTATATCCCAGCAAAGCTATGTATAAAACAAGGAAACCACAGCTAGATCACTACATCTAGCACAATATAACTGTTTCCTTCAGTGATGAGCCAGATGCCTTAAAATGGGAAGTTGATTCTTGCTTGTGTTTTCCAGCAATTGGTATCTAGAAGCATATTGCCTCAAATGTTACAGATAGCTTATAGCTATAATGCCTATTTAGCCAAAAGTGCTGAGAATTCATTTGTTTAAGTATGGCTTGTTAGGTAAACTTGAATTAATATATCATATTAAACCATAGGCAAACCACAATTGCTGATATTATATTCTAAACCAAAACCAGACCTATTAATCTATATTACACTTCAGTATACTTTGTAAAGTTTACTTTACTACAGATAGCAATGGATGAATTTCTTACTGGTAAGAAAACAATTTATGTTCGTAGTCTTCATCCACACAATAGTAGCTGACCCTTCATTTATTTATTAATTCTTTTTGTGCACAGTTGGAATTAGGATCTCTGATCTTTTAGACTGATGGGCATATTTATCATGTTTAGAGTGCAACATGGGTGAAGCTGAGGTTTGCAAATCCATAAAATTGTACGGTGGATGTCTACAAACATATTATGACAAGTTATCTATCTGGCATTAAGAGAACTGTCATTGGGCATATCACTGGCCATGATTGTAAAGATGTGACCTCCCAAATCAAATTTATTTTCCCAAGGCAATTGGGCAAATTCAGAGCTGCAATTCTATATGAATTTATTTGGAAAGAAGTTCCATCAACTACAAAAAATGTCTTTTCATATAAACATTCCAAGAGTAATGTTGTTAAGAATAAGGAAGACTGCTCCTCTACATTGTAGTTTTTCAGTAACTTTGCTGTATTTGAAGCATAAAAAACCCAACTTTTTATTCATTTGAAGAAACTGCTAAGTATCTGAATAAGTTGCTAATAAAGTTATAATTATCTGATTGCTTCTAGTGGTGGAAAGGTATATCTGCCAATAAGGACATTCCCTTTATTTCAAACATATTCAACAGGTTTATTAATGACATTATTATATCAGCTGCCCAACACAAAGGACATTTCTTATAGTGAGTGTGTTGGAATATATCTAGAAGTGATTCCAAGTCTGCATTTATTTGAAACAGCACATCTGCAGAGAGCTATGTTTACTATAATTTGATGCAATGCAAACAAATTATATATAATGCAAACACAAGCAATAGAATATAATCCAACCAGTCTCTTAAACTTTAAAAAAGCTGATTTTAACGAACTCAGAGAGAGACTGAGAAAAATTCCATGGATAAAAATTCTAAAGGGGAAAACAACTCAAGAAGCGTGGGAAACTCTGAAAAATATTATCATAAAAGCCCAGTCCAAAACAACACCACTGAAAAAGAAAAATAAGAAATCCAAGAAGAAACCAGCATAGTTGCACAAAGCTCTCTCTGATAAACTGAAATGCAAAAAGACAAAAACACAAAACTAAGACAGAATATCAGCAGATAGTCTGAATCTGCAAAAATGAAATAAGGAAAGCAAAGGGACAGAGTGAACAAAGACTTGCAACAAAAGTCAAAAGATAATTTAAATGTTTCTTTCAATATATAAATAACAAGAAAAAAGTCAAGGAAACAGTTGGTCAACTAAAAAGAGAAGATGGCAAAGAAGTAACAGGCAATAGAGAGAAAGCGGGGCTGCTTAACTCATTCTTTGCATCAGTCTTCACACAAAAAGAAACTATAGCCCAACCTACCAAACACATAACTAAAAGACAGACTAGAAATAAAAACTAAAATAAGCAAGAAAATGGTAAGAAAACACCTGTGAGATCTTGATGAATATAAATCACTAGAACCTAATGG